GACATTAGATACAAGACAAGACTTGTGGCTAAGGGTTTTGCTCAAAAGGAGGGGATAGACTTTAATGAAATATTTTCCCCCGTTGTAAAATTTACAACTGTTAGAGTTATACTCACCCTAGCAGCTCAATTTAATTGGGAATTAGATCAATTAGATGTAACAACTACGTTTTTAAATGGAGATCTTGAAGAGACTATTTTTATGGAACAACCTAAAGGCTTTGAAGTGAATAAAAATTCAGACTTAGTATGCCTTCTTAAAAAGTCACTTTATGGTTTAAAACAAGCTCCAAGACAATGGTACAAGAGATTTGACACTTTTGTGCTTGGACTTGGTTTTAAAAGAAGTAATTTCGATACTTGTCTTTATTGTAAAGGAAATGGAGGTGAGAATTCACTCTATCTTCTACTTTATGTGGATGACATGCTTTTAGCAAGTCATGACATAAAGGAAATAGAATCAATAAAAGACAAATTAAAATCTGAATTTGAAATGAAGGATTTAGGTCCTGTTAGAAAAATCTTGGGTATCGAAATTAAAAGAAATAGAAGAGAGGGCACACTAAGCCTAAATCAAAAATCTTATGCTTTGAAAATACTTGAAAGATTTGCAATGTCCGATGCTAAAAGTGTGAGTCTACCTTTAGCTAATCACTTCAAATTATCTAATGATCAATGTCCTAAAACTGAAGAAGAGTTTAAAAGAATGGCTAGAGTGCCATATTCTAATGCTGTGGGGTCAGTTATGTATCTAATGATTTGTTCTAGACCTGATTTGGCATTTGCAATAAGTGTATTGAGTAGATACATGTCTAATCCTGGGGAGGTTCATTGGGAAGCGGTGAAGTGGCTTCTAAGATACATTAAGGGAACTTGTGACCTAGGAATTGAGTATAGAAAACAATCTGAGGGTGTTATCTTGAGGGGTTTCACTGATTCTGATTATGCAGGTGATAGGGATAACAGAAAATCGACTTCTACCTATGTATACACTTTATGTAATTCCTGTATAAGTTGGAAATCATAATTACAAAAGATTGTTGCATTATCTTTAACTGAAGCAGAATATATAGCTGCTACTGATGCAATTAAAGAGGGAATTTGGCTAAAAGGACTTCTAAATGAATTTGGTTTCATAAATGATGTTGTCTTACATTCTGGTAGTCAATCTGTTATATATTTGAGTAGAAATCCTGTGTTACACAATAGATCTAAACATGTTGATGTGAAATTTCATTTTATTAGAAATGTAATTTCTCAAGGTGTTGTTAAACTTGAAAAGATTTCTACCCATTTTAATCTTGCTGATGTTGGAACGAAAGTGCTGCCTTTAAACAAGTTTTTGAACTGTTTAAAACAGCTGAATATTAACTTTTGCTGATTTGTGTATCAGGGAATAAGAGCACATGATGTCATGTTCGAAGAGATCACCATAGATGATATTGGAATCATTGTACCAAGGTGGAGAATGTAGAGAAAATGGCACAATGATGGGCTGCTCGAAGTAATTAGCTGCTGGAATAAACCTGCTAATTGGGCCGGATCTTGTAATTAATTTGGAGAGTTGCTGCTTTACTTTGCCAAAAACGTAAGCTACCGAAAACACGTTTCTGTTATTTTAAAAGAATGCTGCCAGATTTTAACAAGTGTCCAATTACTTACCATTGGATGGAGGATTCAAGTGGGATACATATTTAATTGGCACTAGGGCTTGGCTGGACGAGCAGATTCCTTATTTTCTCTCACCTCACGAGTTCCTCTCTGCCTCTCATCTCTCCTCTCTCGGTGGTCCTTCAATCTATCAATTTTTGCACACCAAAAATTAGCCCCTGTTGATGAGAAATTAATCCAACCTTGTGTAGATAATCTTGAGTGATTTAACAAGGTGTATTGGTGTTATTCTTGAGTGAATGTGCCATCGTCGAATGTATAGACGCTTATGTTGAAATAATCTTGAGTGATTATTGTATAGGCTTCGATTCATCATTCTTGAGTGAATGTTGTCGATTTGTGAGGCTTAATTTTGGGGAAAATTTTGTGTGATTTTCTGCTGGGTGCCAAAAGATTGTACTGGACAGATTCGTTGATTCCATTGATATAGTGATTTCTTCCGTTTGACGGAAGCTCAAAAGGGGATTAGGAACGAAGTTCCGAACCTCTTGCCTTAGGCCGAAAATACCGTGTTCTTCATTGTGTTTTTACATTTTTCAGTTTTCAGTTTTTTGTGATTTTTCGTTATTTTTGTTGACTTAAGTGGGCTGATTTCTTGAACTTCTCGTAATAGTGGTATCAGAGCTCGAGACGGGGGTTCTTGGTGCCGGTGTTGGTAGTCTCGAAGGTTTCTTGCACTGGTTCAGTTGATTTCGTTTATTTTTTGAAACCCTAATAAGGGATTTTGGTGAGTTCGTTTCATAATTGTCGAGTTACATATATAATATTTGTCTATACTGTGAGACTTTTGTAACTGACTTAAAATCCCTAAATCTGAGACTTTATCTTGACAATGCCTTTATCTAGAAATCGTAAGTTGTCTGGAATCTAAGAATTGTCTTGATTTATAAGTTGGCTACATAATACGTAGATAGAATTAAAATTAGACAAGAATTAAATATTAAATGAAATGAATAAAATAATAATTTGATATCAATGTTTGGAATAAACTACATTATTCTTACATATACATTAAAGTTTCAATCCCAATTAAAATGGAATCCGAGATATGATTAAAATAATAATAATAGTATTTGTAGTTGCTCACTACAGCATTCGTCCTATCAAACTACTAATTGCTATATATATGTGACTTAAATTGACTATGACAATAAATAACTGCAAATAACATTACTATTAAAAAAAAAAAAAACACTTAGTTTTCATTAAAAAAACATGCCATACCCCGAAATGAATATAACCATTTCAAAGGAATTAGAGGAGCGTACATAAACCGCAATTTGTCTAAATTTAAAGATTTTTTATAAATGACCAAGTTTCATTTTTAATTATACATTTTAATGGATCCACAAATACTATAAACTTATCTATCACTCATTTTTATTTATTTATAAATTGAAATATTTATAAATTTTTCCCAAACTGAGCTAAATGGTTCCTTAGAATCCCTATTTTAAGACAAAAAGATTAAAAGAAAAAGTTGAAATTCTTTTCAAATTTGATAATCACCTTACAAAAAGCAACTAATGAGCGAGCCAGTGAGCATGGCTTGCGAGCGGCTTGCACAAATTTTTTTTTGGATTGGCCCAATTTGCACCCATTGTCATCCCTATATTGTTGGACATATAAAGTGTAGTGGCGAATCCAATAATCCAAGTGAGTATATGCGGTTGCAGGGATTCGTCGAGTGCTGGCTATGTCCCTACTTGTAAGTTGGATCTACACAATTTGGTTTGCTTAATTTTATCTTTTTGCCATTTTTTTTAAAATTATAGACCTTCACAAATATTGGACATGAAATATATTTTGACACTTTTAGTGAACTGTTTGGCTCGTCCGAGTTGGATATGTTTGGTTCTTGTTCAAGACAAGCCGTTGGTGTAAGCCAAGTAAAAAAATTCTTGTGTGAGTCATTCATCAGCTCAAGTCAAGCGAGGCAACTCGCACTAGCTCATTAACTTGCATACAAGCCATCTCATATCATATTGCAAGTAGGCATGACTACTGACTCCTAGGCATGCACAAATTTGTCCATTGCCGCATTCTAAAACAATGGTAATTTCCAATTGCCTATACTCTTTTTCTTTTCATTTTATATTTTTTGCACAATGATTTAACTCAGACAAATATTCAAACCAAATCGATTCTATTTCAACGGTTAGATTGGATCGATTTGAGTTGAAATTTGCCTAAATCGAACAAATTGATTTTGAGTTGAGCTCAAAACCAATTCAACATAAGCCATGCCCGGACCTAGTACCTAGGCCATGTCGTTTCTTTGTTTTAGCAAAGTTTTTAAAATTGTACAAGTCAATTAAACTTTATTTCTATCCACTCATTTTTTCGTAGGATTTAAAGCTTTTATTCACATTTTAAATCTACATAACGATTAATAACGTTCGTTTAATAATCCCATTTCTTTATTGTGATTGGCCCGTTTCTAATTTAATGTTTCTTTGATCCAAATTGAATTGAATTTAATTTGACGAATTTAAGGAATGTGTCTTTTTTTTCCTTGATATCTGTAATGGTTTTGGAAGTACTAAATGAAAGAAATGTATTATCGTAACGTCAAATCCGTTGTAGTCTAGTTGGTTAGGATACTCGGCTCTCACCCGAGAGACCCGGGTTCAAGTCCCGGCAACGGAATGTTTTTTCAATTTTTGTTTCCTTCGGCACCCATGAGCACAAATTAACTTTATGTTTATGTTTAAATACTTTACAGTCTTTCATGTTTTCTTAAGACTTAAAAAAAAAAAGAAGAAATAATAATAATAATAATAATAAATAAATTCAAAAGCTGTTTCGAGATGTCATGAAATATATAAATATAATTGAATAAATTGTTTATTTGCTAATAATTTAATCTTTTAAAATTCAAATAATTTCAGACTAATATGTTTCCCACTACCATGGTATCACCTACTTTATACAAAAGCAAGAAGAAAGGCTCACCTACTTCCTTTGCTAGTTCGCAAGGTAAACATTGGCACAATAATTCAAGTTAGATAAATCTATACGTATAGGGTGGATTTTCAGAGGTATTCACAGGTCACTCACATGGGTGTGAGTCCCATGCCGGGCTCCATGTAATAGAAAATTGTCAAAAAAAAAAAAAAAAATGTGGACTCACTCTATTGTATAAAGCTTGTAGAGGATAAAAAGGATTTCTGGCATATCATAGCAGCCTCCATTCAAATTTTTTTTGTTGAAATTCCCATTATCATTTTTCTATTCAACAAACTATCTAAATGAAATTAGGCCACTTAAGAATTGGCAATTGTTTCCATCAAAAACATGCAAAAAAATAAATAAATAAATAAACAATCCTTATTTTGAACTGGAAAGACTTCATATTTTCTTCGGAAACGAAAACCAAGAATTAAACTTTTGGACAACCTTCAATCATTCACTGGATATACATATCCAATAAATGAAAATGTGAACAAACCGAAAGAGGATTAAACAAGAACAAGAAATAGTTCAAAACAAGTCCCACAAACTATTCAGCTAAGTCAACTTGTTGTCAAGAAACCGCCCCCCACCTAGGGGCAACTTATGTTGCTCACTTTCACCCCCAAACAACCCCCCTGTCCTAAAATTCTTCAAGATTTAAGAGAGAATCAGCAGGCTCTGATTTAGCAGCATATCCATATTTTGAGGTACTGTACTTCTTATGCACACCAGTTAGTTTCCCAGTACCTGCCTTCTGATGGTAAGCTGCCATTAGTTTTGCACATTCCCTACAAAGATCAAAGCCATTAGTTTTGCACATTCCCTACAAAGATCAAAGCCAGCCACCCCAAAGCAATTAAGACTGTCTAGTCACAATTCATTAACTTTTATGAAAAAATTAAGATGAAGCCACACTTACAAAAGCTGGTCCACTGTGTATTTTGTATGCTTCTCGATCGTCTTACTCCACTGCTTTGACTTGCTGAGAGCACATTGGGCTGTAAAGATTGCAGCTGCTTATAACAATGAAGGCGGGAACCTAAGCATCTCATATTCGACTAGGCAGAGCTCGATCATGAAGAAGGATAGCAGCTCCAACTAGTTCAAGTTCACGAAATTGTTTTAAATCAGTAAAACCACATTTATATTTCATCAAGTGGCAAACTAAGCGCATCTCATATTCAACTAGGCAGAGTTCGATCATGAAGAAGGAAAGCAGCTCCAACTAGTTCACGAAATTGTTTTAAATCAGTAAAACCACATTTATATTTCATTAAGTGGGAAACTAAGCATCTCATATTCGACTAGGCAGAGTTCGATCATGAAGAAGGATAGCAGCTCCAACTAGTTCACGAAATTGTTTTAAATCAGTAAAACCGCATTTATATTTCATTAAGTGGCAAACTAAGCATCTCATATTCGACTAGGCAGAATTCGATCATGAAGAAGGATAGCAGCTCCAACTAGTTCAAGTTCAAGAAATTGTTTTAAATCAGTAAAACCACATTTATACTTCATTAAGTGGGAACTTTCGACCAGGCAGAGTTCGATCATGAAGAAGGATAGCAGCTCCAACTAGTTCAAGTTCAAGAAATTGTTTTAAATCAGTAAAACCACATTTATATTTCATTAAGTGTGTATTTGGCATGTAGTACTAGATAAGTATTGATGGTATAATGACTTCAACTTCAGTTTCTTCGTTAATATTGCCTCCCTACCAAACATGCCATAAGAGTACACTAACATTGCACTAGATTACAGACCAACACCTTTATGTCCGATTGAGAAGCTTTAAGAAACCGTCTCATGAACACGTAAGGAGTTGGAAATGAGAGGTTAAACTGTAAGGTGTTGATCATCAATTTCTCCTGCACCACAAGAGAACTATGTAAAAAACAGAAAAAATAAAAAAGAAAGCTATTATTACATAATCATAATATAACCACTAATATACTAAAACACACCATATCAAGAACTTCTTTTCTGCAGTAAGCTCTATCAGAAATTAAAATAAGATCCTCCACAACAGGAACAGAGACTTCTTCATATTTGCAGGCAATGAGCATAGCTGTCACTCCTACAAGCTGGAGTTTCTTTCTTATCACTGGTTGGACAGCTAAGAATCTATCGATGAGACTGACGGTTAAAAATAATGTCTCATCCATCAGTTCGAACTTGTAATGCACCTATACATATAACATTAAGTTAATCGAGTTATATAACTTATTTTGTATAATTTCATAAACTTTGAAGGTCACTAGGATGTAATTTCATACAACATACACATAATGTTAAATTAATCTAGCTATAGAAGTTACTTTATATGATTTCATAAATTTTGAAGGTGTGTAATTTCACGTACCTCAATCAGCCAGTCGATAAGAATACCTCTCATCCTTTCATTGATGTCGAACTGCTGTTCCATATAGTTTGGTTGGACACAGCTACAACTCTGTAGTCAAAATTATGCAATGGGGAAAATTTGATGGCCTTAGCATTCACTATAATAACTCAGAATGCAAGTGATTTAGAATGCTCGAGATCAACTCCTGTGTGTAAAGTTGTAAAAAGGAATCCAGAAAATTGAACTGAACAAGTCACCTATATGCTCATGGTTCCTTTGTGCTCATTTTTGGATTACTTTCTTACATAATCAAAAAAATATTCCTCATTTTGACAATAAGGAAGTATTATTTTCAAATAGGTAGCTTAACTAACTTATGAAGATTAGCAAGCATACATAAAATGAGATTGTAGTCTTATTTTTCACTACAGACTCTACATGATACAGCATAGTCACAATTTCAATGAGTGAAGTAACCAAAAAATATCATCAAGAATTTAAAGAGTTAAGAAATCCATACAATTTCATTTGGAGATCAAAAAACGCAATAATATGCAAGAAAATAAGTGAGCAAAAATTAAGAATTCCAAGTACAACAAAGAATAGTTCACCTCTGTCTTTTTGTAGTAGGCATATATGTTGTCAATATATTCGACAACTGCAAGTGGATTATTCTTATCAGCACTATCTATGTCCACAACTGACTCCTCCTCGTCGATTTCTTCCATTTCAATTTCCGCATCCTACATGAAAATATGAGATCAATGATTCCATTAAACATAGTAACCAGTGACAATTTGCCATGTCAAACAGAAAATGATACCATTCGATCAATTTCTTCGAGCATAGCTTCTGTATGTTGCACGGACATTGGCACATCATAGTCACCGATTACTTTGTAGTCCTCTGCATCAACAATGAGGCAGTCTACCAATTGATGTGAATTGGAAACTTGTTGTTGGATTGATGGCTTGGTTTCCTACAATAACACAGTTTAATACATTTTAGGCACAATAATAACCCAAAATAATCTGAATGCTTTGTTTTGGCTAAGATTAAAACAGTTACGTGTAAGTACATAAGTAAGCTTTAAAAGAAGTATATTTTACTCCTTCAAATCTGGAAACAAATATGTTACTTATTTTGATGAATGAATAATATTATGTGTACACCTCAAGCTGTACACACAGCCTTACACATCCCCCCTTGCATGGAGGGTGGCCCACACAAATTTTATTGTGTGTGGGCCCCCTCCATGTGAATGGAGGGTAAAGTTGTGTGTAAACGGTTATGTACACGTAGCATTGCTCTTGACGAATAATAAATTTCGTATGAAGTAACTTTTCACATAAAATTAAATTATCCAGATACCTACAAAAACGAACGTTACTTTTACTTCTTTTGGTTAGTCAAACATTTGTAACATCAAAAATCAAGTTTCTCTTATTTTTGGAAGAAACTATACCTTAACATATGGATGCTGTTGTTTGCAAGCTATTTGTGCAGCAAACTTCCTGAACATAGCCATTTACTGCAAATTAGTTTCATTTCTATTCCCTCTTCTCTTTGCCATGTAAAACCGAAAATAAAGATTTTTCATTTCAAAACAAGAACAAAAAGGAATCATATTAACAAACCTAGTGATAGGTCGATGCACCGGCACATCAGGTTTCTTGTTACTGATAGCATTTTTTCTGAAAAAGATCCAAAAAAATTAAATAAAATATTAATAATAATGAAGGGGCTCTCAGTGGCATGAAAATAAAGCCAATCATGATTAAGCATCAAAAGATCAGCGATTAACTATTTCATACTCTGTCAAGACAGCTCTCTTGTGAACAGCAGATGGGTAAGGGGGAATTCCTATTATGTTCTTATTGATTGCAGTCAATGCCCTTCTACTATGTCCAACTGCCACTGGAAACTTTTCACCTCCAGGCCCCAGTGCCCCTATATTGATAAAGAATAAAATTATCCCTTTTTTTTCATAATTAGGGTTTTATGACAAAAGATTTTTTATTTAAACAAAAAACGCCCAAGAATTGAATTTTTAAATTTAAATTACCTTGAATATTTGATGGCCTGATCGCACCCGGAAAGTTCTCATCTGATCCACCCATCTTTTTTGCAGCCTTTTGAAATTATCTGTTAAAATTTGGAGTTTTCAATCATACAAACATTAGAGAATTCTAAAATTTCCTCAATAAAAATAAATTCTATTAAAATGATCGATTAAATAAGAAACCATCAATCAACGTTCAAGAAGAAAAAACAAAAACCCAGATCATAACATTTGATGAACAAGAAAAAATAAGCATCTAAATCAAGAAAAATCCACAAGAAATCTGTACGTAAAATTTAATTAAAAGATCCACTCACAGAAAATCCTCAACAAAAGAGAGAAAGAGGCTTTCAAGAAAACCCAATCAATAGATCATTGAAAGAAAAAGATAAAATGCCTCTCTCTCTCTCTCTCTGGTAAGTGGTGGGCGTGTGTTCTTGAAGTTGAATCAGAAGGGCTAGGGAAAATTCTGAGAATACTTAAACGGCGAATTGATGTCTGCAAAAAAACATGCTTTCATAATTTGAAAATTAACGGCTACTTAATCTTAGCCGTTGGATGAAAGGTTGCATCTGATTGTTCCATGTTTGGGCTTCTTAACGGATACTTGGTCCTTTATTGCCATGTGCTTTTTTCAAAATTCTCCAAAACCATAAATTTTCATGCCTTTAAAGGTTTGTTGCTTTAAATACTTTTATTTTTCTAGCTAATAATAAAATTACCCTATTAGAAAAATCCCGCCCCTTTTTTTAATACGGCCCTATTTGGTAGGGATTTTTTGCCCCAAAAAATTGATTTTTTAACCGTTATTTTACTATTCAAGCAGTAATTTTTGACTTCTTTTCTCACATGTGGACCTCACTTTTCTTCTAACGGTCAAAAAATCAATTCTCAAAATTCTTACCAAACGGGCCCCTAATCTCATTGATTCTTCTATCTTTTGTTTTCATTGTCGGCATCGGCCCCCTAGATTTCAAATCCTCAATATTAGTGGAATTTAGAAAGTTTTAATTGGTTAGAATTCGTTACTTGATCGAATCGAGATTCCAACCGTTGTTTAAAACAACTCATATATAACTTCATTAAAAATATCCCCGCACAATCAATGCATTATTGAACATAATTACTTAGTTTGACAATCTTGGAAGTTGGAATGATATTTCATCATTGTAAAAAATGGTTAGCCTTTCTTCGTTTTTTTTTTTTTTTCCTTTCACATTTGCATTAATATGCATGATCGTTGTTTGGTTTAGATGAAAATCATATTTTTAATGAATTTTGATAAGAAAAAAACTGATGAAATATGTGTTAAAAATTGTCCTATGAAATATGAGATCAAAGTTAATTTTTGACTTTAAGTGGTATTTTTATTCAAATTCATAAGTAAACTAAATATGGACATAAACATTTTTCAACTTAAAAAGTGTTAAAATGCAAGATTAATTACATGATTTTAGGTAAGGTAATTCAACAACTTTCCCGACTAACCGGTGAACGGGTCAGGGATGGTCTCCATTCCTACCCCCTCGCCCTCCCTGTCTTGATTAATAAGATTATTATTTTATTAATATATTTATGTGTAAAACTATTATAATTTAGCTGTTTTTATATATATTTTTTCAAAATTTCAAAATAATTTATTATTATAGTGCTATTATAATATAACATAATTTATATAATTAACAATATTTAAAATGAAGAATTATAAATGAGGTCGTACCGTGGGGGGAGATCCCATCCCGACCCAACCTGACCCTGTCGATCCCAAATAAATGAGGACGAGGAATGAGATCCCTGTACTCATTCTCGCCTGATTTTTTCTTCGTCCCATGGTCAAATATAATCTACTTCCCATTTTCTTTTGAGATTTATTTCTTAATCAAGTTATCGAGTTACTTTAATTATATTTGCTTAACTTGATAACTTAGAGTGTGAACCTGATTAATTTATAAATATTGGACTAACATAACATGCACTATGTATTTCATGTTGAAAATAAAGAATGTTGATAGATAAACATTCTTATAGAATTGATCTCGCCCACTCGGGGTGATCAGGAGATCAAGATTGTGAAAATTCTTATCATATATTATCTTTTGACAGATTGAAAAACTTGACATACACTTGATTTACTTTTCAAAATAATGCATTTCTCAATAATTTCATAGTCCAAAGTTTATCATATATTAGGCATAATAAGTGGAATTTTATTTCCATTTCATTAATAAAAGATTTAGCTTTTCAGGCTGACTATGCAAAAGTTCACCCAAACAAGACAGTATGAGATAGAAGTAGAACTATGTAGAAAACTTTTCTTTACAAAAGTGATGATCCATTTGATTTTGAAATATTTCAACTTATTGCAGCGGAGCGTGGATGGCGATGCTACCTTTTCTTATCCCTCTTTTTTCTTTAATTTTTTACTTTTATGTTTAAATAGTGAAATAATATTATGTGGAACATGTTTAATATTTAGATAGGACTCAATAGAGCATTGTGTCAATCATGTTATAAAACGAGTTGAAAGAAAAATGTTGCTCGAGATTATTGAGTAAATCCCATATTATATGCAAGATTTTAAAATGTGGAATGCGTGGCAATGTATTTCGATCGAACATCAAGCACTTCGATCATATGTGTGTTTATGCGAAATATATGCGTAATTATGTATTTTTAAGTTTTAATATTATTTTAAATATTCTAAACTAATAAATAAATAAAATAATGCATTGTTTGAATTTTGTACATATTCTTCAATAATGATTAGGTGAACAATACAAAAACGAAAAATGCACCTTCAAGTTTTTGTAGTTCAGTGAACATCTTAGCAGTGGAACTAGAAGAAGATTGAAGGATGCTCAGGATTGGTATAGATAGTTTGCAATTCTACGAAAAAAATATTTTGATTTTTGATTTTTTTTGGCCCCTGTTTAATCCAGATTAAAACCTAGATTTTAATTTAAATCAAAGTCAACAATTAATTCTAACTATATATTTCAAGGGATTCACAATTTTTTCAATTACACATTCCATCAACTTTTATTAAAATCTACTGAAAATCTTGTTTTAATCCCCTCCAAATAAGAGTTAAATGTCAAAACTCTACAAATTGTTGTATATAATTCATGGGCTTGGATGATTTGGGCTAATTGAATGTGTTGGGCTTAATTTACCTTTTTAAGTTATAAAAATGGGCTCGACTTTATAAGACTAATCGTAACACAAATGCAATCATATAATGGTATTTTAGCAGGCATATGAAGTCAACGAAATAGGTTGATTGCATTATTACTTGCATATCTCATATGTAATGTGTTTTGAAAATGTCTCAACCATGTATTGTTCATTTTTATTCAACCTATCTTATCAAGCAAGAGCGTAACAAATATGCAGCAAATGGAGAAATTAATGAACTATTTAGAGGGATTGATTTTGAATTGATAGGATCTTGCTAGCAATTGGAATTGTCTGTAGGGTGTGCATTTCTTTGAGATGATACCGTGAGACAATTCCTCTTGTCAACTTAATTTATGATCTGCACAAGACAATATAGGACCACTAATATTATGCACCTATTTGACGAATTAAGCTACACAAACATAGTCGTTGACATAGTACCTGACATAATGACATGGATTTCGTTTAATTAAAAAAAAAACTAATTAATAAAGTCGACATAAATGAATGTAAAACGGCCTAACCCGTTTGAAAGTAAAATTTGTCTAATAGTACATAATGGGATGTATCGAATGGTGTACACCCTACTCACATGGGTGTGGGACCCATGTGAAAGAAATGATATTTTATTCGAATGGATCTCTCGTCCATGTGAGTGGGGTATACACCATTAGGTACACCCCGATATACCATTGAAAGTATCTTTTATTCCACTCTTTCATTTAGGCGCGCCATCCCAATTCATTCAGAAACCCATTTCCACATTATTTCAGTCTCCAACCTCTGGCAACGCTTTCTGACTAGCTATGATCACTGTGTAAGAAGCTTTTTTCGTAGGCATAAGATATTCGAAGTTTTTTGCTTTGGATTGGCTTTTGAATGAAGCCACTCTCCGATCGATACAGCCCCCACACTGAAGGTGGTAGAATAAGGTAGTTTTTAAAAATTGAAGAATTATTATTTTTCTTTGGATCATTGACGGGAATTCCTTTTTACATTTTTTAAGAATGTCACCGGAACCAACACATGGGTTTTGTCTGTTTAAGAATGCCATTGAAACCAATTTCTTCAAGCAAACTTTTTGACTTTTCTGTGTTTTATAAGTTGAACTCGGACTAGTAAAGTTGCTTTAGTGAAAGGAGAGAATAAAAATTGAAATTGGTGTTTTTTTTGGCAAGGAAACAAATTTTCGAAGATGTGGGTGACATTGTGTTGATGGAGGCCGATGAATAGAATATTATAGACAATATGAAAAATTGGGTGATAAAATGTTAGGATGAGATGGTGTGATTGTGCTTGAGATGGGTATGAAGTTTAACAATGAAAATAAAATATTCGAGTTTTTTAAAAGATATGCTTAAGAGCTAGGTTTTTCAATTAAAAAAAGAAATTAAAAAAAGGATGATGATGGAATTTTGAGATATGCGACACTCATTTGCAGTCGTAAAGGGAAAAGAAGCAGTAATACAAGCGATCCTCTAAAGCCACTAGCAATCGTTCAGAATGGATGTAACGGTTGGTGACTGCATGTTCATATATTTGTAGAATATGGAGAATTAACATAGTACACCTCGAGTACAAATCATAAAACAAGTCCTTTGAAGTCCATACTATATCGATTCAATCCGATGCTCTAGGGGTTTCTGTGATTTGGGAGATGAAGTGGGTTGTCAATTTAGGTCGATTTTGAAAGATTATGGTAAATGTTTTTTTCTTTTTTGAAAGATTTTGTTTTATTTTTTCTTCATTTTCATTTATTCATGTCATAGTGTCAATTCACCTATCACCCGTTTTGTTACCATAGTGTGATTGCTATTTGATAGTCATTTTTTGGGTAATGAATGGGATTTTATATAGTAACATTTTGAATAATAGATGGTTAAAATGTAAGAAAATGTTTTGAATTTACGTGAAAAATATTTTTATTGTGATAATGTGTGATTGAAACTGAGTATGAGAGAAAATAGTTTTAAAAGAATAGTTACCAAACATGGACTATATTAATTGTAATTATATGAAAAAAAATTGATAGTGAAGTAAGATTTATTTTAAAAAATAAAAAATCAAGTTTGTTTTTCTCTTTATGATGAACTTGCAGGAAATTGGTTTAAAATTGAGAAAATTTGGTTGAATATAAAAGTGGAAAGTGACTTTTGTATCAATTTCGACCAAATATACGGATTTGATCCGATAGTCAAATTACAAATATAATTAGATTAACTTGTTCTACTTGTTGAGTAGATTATCGTGCTATATTTGAAAACTCAAAACCAATTCCAAATGAATGAGAAATTGTGATCCAAATTTGAAAGAA